ATTAAATAAACAAATGGCTATTGTAAAGCATTATCTTTGCAATACGATGATGATTCGAGGCAGAATGATTTTATTCGTATGTTCAGTATGTTTTACAGTAAAATATTAAATATACAATTGTACTAATAGTTCAATTTACTTCTTTTTACAAATAAATAAACAACTGAGTAGTATTTTGTCCACCCAGTTTGACTTCTAGTATCCTTACAGGAGCACTATTTACTTACCCTCAAGTTGTTTCCAAACCTAAGAGTTTGTTTTATCTAATAAACTGAAAAAAGATATTGTGAAGAAACCTGTAACCACTGACACCAATAGTAGGTAAAAACAAATAAAAATCAACTATTAACTAAATCTGCAATGGAAATCAACGGTAACCGGTGGCCTCAAAATATCTTCTGTTGTGTTCAAAAGAAACTCAAACAGGTTTGTGAAATGTGAACAGTAAATAAATGACAGAATTCTGCCCTTTTTTATACACTATAATGGTAACAGTTCACGAATCAACCATAGTTAGGCTCAAAGCCTCCAGTTACCAGAGATTTTCTTACATAGACTGAATATTTTAGTTCGTATTACCTCAGTTTACCTCCCGGAGGAACAGTTACTAGTTTGAATGAATTTAATTTTGCCTGAATGTTCTTTTTTGACTCCGCAAGCGTTTGACTTTTCAGTTTATGAGGAAAAAAAAACTTTAAAGAAACCCTTAACCACTGACACAAATAGTAGAAAAACAAATACTATGGAAATCAACAGTAACCGTTTTCCTCAAAATATCTTCTTTTGTGTTCAACAGAAAAAAAGAAACTCAAACAGGTTTGTGAACGACAACTAAAGGATTTCAGAGTTTTCAGTTTTGGTGAATTATTTCTTTAAGCGCTGTTAAAAAACAAAACAAAACAAAACATGAAAACAGTTCAGGAATCAACCAAAGGTAGGCTCAAAGCATCCAGTTAGCAGATATTTTCTTACACCGACTGAATATGTTATTCAGAATGTATAATGTTAGATCGATTGGGATGATTCTGCAGTGGGAATGCATCTCCATAAAATTGAATAAACCATGTATAAACTTTTTGAGGTCCCCAGACACATTTCATTGTGGTCTGTGCTATTTGCAGTGTGTTTCTGTTTTTGCATGTGTTGAGAGTATTTTCATGCATTACTATCTATAAATGCAATCAGGAAAAAGATACAATTGAAATACAGTGTTTTATCATTTCCCGAGTCTAACAGTACTCAAGTACAGTAACTGAATGGTAAAGATTAACATAATTCAATCAAATTAATCATAGTTAAGGTCACAAATGGTACAATTTCTTATACCCATTGCTTTTAATGCAATTTAATTGCAAAATAAACCTTTATAATTTGCTAGAGCATTTCTAGCATTATCACTTAAGATTTTTTATATTTAGCATAATCTATATTCATTACTCAACAGATGTAATTCCTCTATTAATGGACTATTTCTATTTCATAAGCTTATTAATTATTATTTAAATGATAAATAATGATCTCATTCCTTTTAACTCCAATGACTTGTGAGAAGTCTATGCACACACATATATGAAATCACTTGCATGTTCACAACTAATTGTATATTTGTTTGTGGATTTTATTTTGTATGTTTGCACGAGGGTTACTTGGGTGTTTATGAACGCAGCGAGTTTATATTCATATGTGAGAGTTTTTGGGCGCATATGCATAGATCTAGTTTATATGTATGTGTGATTGAGTATGTGGGGTGTATGCATGCATCAAGTTTATGTATATACGCAAGTTTCATATATATTGTTTTGAACATCCAAACTATGTATATCCGAGTAATTTATAGGTGTATATGTACCTGTTTTATGTATGAGTTGATAGGCAAAGTTTGATTTAAATCCCACAGCCTCATAGCTATTGACCAAACGGCCAAAAAAGGAGCGTCTACGTTTCGTGCACGCCCACATTTTGAAACCTCATTTTTTTGGTGCTTGTTTGTGATCAAACGAATAAACGAATAAATGCCTCAGTATTTTGATTTGTTTTTTTATTTCCGTTTTGAGTTAAAAACAGGACAACAGATGAGCTTTTGTTTTTTGTGTGGTTACAGAATAAACAGAAAAAGTAAATATTGACTGTTTTTGTGGTGTTTCGTTTTCCAGAATAAAAGGAGTAATCAAATTAACGGATGGTACACGGACCTTATACAATCACAGGCATCAAAAACACACGTGCAAATGATAAACTGTGATACAAACGCAACATTGCAAATCCTGCGATGTCACTATCCGCTTGTTAAGTGTGACGTCACGCGAAGTGGCTTCCGGGTCCAATCGCTCTATTTAAACGAACGTGGAGATTCATGAAATGGTAATAATAAACGTTTACAAAGCAATTTAATACTTTCGAAAATCACGATCGCAATATATATATGTCCATGTATATATATCGCAATATATAAACGATATATATATATATATATATATATATATATATAATAAATAAATAATTTTAAAAAAATAAAAAATAAAATAAAATCGCAATATATATATGTCCATGCCTAATATATCCAATGGCCAGAAAGTGACTAAATTTTTTTATAAATTGTTAAAATTTTGGTGTTTGTGATGCAGCAATTGTGTCCACTGACTTTATATAAAATTAACTTTAATGTGTGGTGTGATATGAATAAAAAGTGATCATAAACTAATGATTTCTCAACTCAAATGAGCAGCGGCTTGGAACCGGAAACAGTATTACATGAGTGACCAACACGTCACCACATAACAAGCGGATTGCGAATGATCACACTGATATCGATGCCGACACCATATATTGTGCAGCACTACTATGAAAATCAACAGTAACCGATTTCCTTAAATAATCTCTTGTTTTCAACAGAAAAAAAAAACTTAAACAGATTTGTGAAAAGTGAACGGCGACCAAAGGATGACAGAATTTTCTTTTAAAACGCTAAACTGGTGACAGTTCACAAATTAAACAAAGCTAGACACAAAGCCTCCAGTTACCAGAGATTTTCTTGCACAGACAGAATATTTTGGTTAATATTACCAAGAGTTATTCATTTTAATCAATTGTGTTTAGACTAAATGTGCTTTTTTTGACTCTGCAAGCGTTTGACTTGCATTTTACAAACCACCAAGGACCACAGTTTCAGCAAAAAAGTAAACTTCTTTAATGTTCTACCAAAGAAAAACAGTCCCCTTCATCATGGGATGGCCTGAGGGTGAGTAAATGAACAGCTTATTAGCATTTTTAGATTAATTATCTCTTTAAACACCAATCCACCTCATCATGACTCATTAAACTGTAAATCCCTTCCCACAGCAAAACCAACCCAAAATAAAGACTTGCAAAAGAAAAAAGGGCGTTTTTGCTCACATCTGAGACTCACATGACCAGAAGCACATCAGTACTTTGACCTGAAAATTTTACAGCGAGTAAATAAAGGCTGCTGGATATATTGGTTAATTTGATTAGGGACAGTCCTGTCTTCGTAGTTCTGCTCTCCGTGTGTGTATATTTAGTATATACAAACATCATTTATGACCTACGTGTGGTTTTTGCATAAAAGATTTCCCACAGCACACAAAACACACTTTTCTAACAGTTTGACGTGGAAAATGGGTGACATACCATTGAGGTAAAGTTGGTTTTATATTCGCACATTCGGTCAGTGTCAACTTGTTCCCTATATTGTTTACCGTGGTCTTATGAATATTGAAATAATTTGTAGATATGACTTCAAAACAACCTTAGCACTATTTAATTGACTGTGGACAATGCTACTGAGGTAAAGTTGGTTTTATATTCACATGAAGACTTTCTCTTTGATATTATAACTTTAAGAAAAGTATTATGTGCAAATTCTAAATAACAAAATCATATTAGCAGCCAAAGACTATCGAAGTACATTGTTCATGGTCAATTTAAACAGTGCTAAAGCTGTTTTGAATCACTTACATGTGATTTTAGACCGAATATTCAAAGTACCAAGGTAAACAACATGGGAAGGGTATCACAAGTTGCCATTAAACAAATGTGCGAATATAAAACCAACTTTACCTCAATAGCAATGTTGTACTTCGATAGTCTTTAGCCGCTAATATGATTTCTCTATTAGCATTAGCAAATAACACTTGTCTGTTATTAAATTATTAAGAAGTCCAAATGTGTGAATATAAAACCAACTTTTCCTCAATTCACATTCCTTGTGATATTTCATCACTCCAAGTCTTTCAAGAAGTTCACTATGTCACATACTGGAGGCCTAAACCCCAAACTAAACCCAAAATGTGACGTTTTAACGAAAACGACACGTTTATTTAATCAATAAGCGTATGTGATAGCGGTAAACTCAATGTGAAGGGGCAGATGTGCAGAATGTGCGGCTGAAGAAGAAGAACTGGCAGATTTGAGGGTGTCAAGAGAAGTGAAAGTGGTCGCTCGTTCTCTCGTTGTGTCTGTTGAAGTGAATTATACGGGTGATTAGCTTCATAAATGTGCTATATTGCGTTACTCACCGTGCCCGTGAACGCGTCCGCGCCCTCGTCACTGTCCTCCAGCAGTTCGGGCTCCTCTGAGTCCGGGAAAGGAGGAGGACTGCGCTCCGAGCTGGCCGCCATCTTCAGCTCCACACACACTCGACACACATACACACACGGAAAAACTTTATTACAAGCAAAGAGACCAAAAAAACGAGAGAGCGACGTTGACGGGTAGAGGAGAGAGATAGCGGGAGAAACAGCGACGCCTGCTGGTGAAAATAGGGGCGGGCTTTCGTTTGTTGCGTCACGCTGATAACCCCCTCCCACACTTATATATATATTTAAATATAAAGTTATTTTATATGTAGGGCGACTTTATTATGAGGATTTTTATGGTTTAGCGTACAAAAAAGAATTTAAGATGTTTATTAAAATGTTTTAAATGATATTGGGCGGGTCTTGTGGTGACCAGCTCGTGACGTTGCACAAAACCACGCCCCTCACGCGTCTGTTTACAGAAGTACAGCAGAAAATTCCGTCTTCCGCTTTGCGATCATGTAGTTTACACTCGTAATTCTTTGATTATAAATATTAATATGCCTCGACAGTCTCGTGAGGATACAGAACCTCTGCTATCGTCCGCTAATAATGAGGAAGACGGTAAAAATGCACCTTTTTTTTGTAAAACACGTATAATGGAACTGGATTGTGTTGTGAAATGTTTACAGTATTTAGGTTTTGGATATTGTGATCGTGTTAAAGATGACTACAGTGTTGAAACAGACTCTATTTTACCATTAAATCTGGTGACTTGTGCACGAGAATTGATATGCAATAAAGTACTATGGTAATACCATGGCACTCTGATATACATGTCAAAACAAATATATTCATCACCAAATATAATATAATAATTAATCAACACATATAATATGGTTACCATATATAATTGTTAATATTTCTTTACTAGTGGGTGGGTGCAGGACACTAGTTAATATATGCAAATAAGTATAGAGGTAAATTATGACATAGTTGAAATCAGAATTATTAAACCCCCTAATGATTTTTTCTTTTTTTTAATTTCAGATAGAATAAAAGCAGTTTTAAATTTTTTTAAAAACTTTTTAAGGTCATAATTATTAGCCCCTTTAAGCTATATTTTTTTCTCGATAGTTTACAGAACAAACCATCGTTATACAATAACTCGCCTAACTGCCCTAACCTGCCTAGTTAACCCATTTAACCTAGTTAAGCCTTCAAATGTCACTTTAAGCTGTATAGAAGTGTCTTGAAAAATATCTGGTCAAATATTCTGTTGTCATCATGGCAAAGATAAAATAAATCAGTAATTAGCAATGAGTTATTAAAACTATTATGCTTAGAAATGTGCTATAAAAATCTACTCTCTGCAGAAATTTTGGAAAAAATAAACAGGTGGGCTAATAATTTAAGGGGGCGAATAATTCTGACTTCAACTGTGTTATAAACAAAAAATCTTTATACAATAGATTAAAAAGTTGTCTCAATGGTTGTCACTGAGGTCCAACAAAATACTGAGATATAACAGGCCTGTAGCAAGCCTGACATAAGGGGTGGTTCTTTTTTTCTTAAAAAAATGGACCTTTTTGCAGTTATTCGCCTCATTTTGTATTTAATTATGAGATTTAAATGCTCCATTTAGTGACATTTTAAGGACTATTTTTAGCTGGATTAGCTTGTCAGATGGTCATCATAACCACACTTTTTGATGTACCAAAAATATTTCCTAAATATTTACAATAAAAAAAATATGACAAATATTTATTTTTCATTTTATTTCATTTTCTTGTCGGCTTAGTCCCTTTATTAATTCGGGGTCGCCACAGCGGAATTAACCGCAAACTTATCCAGCTAGTTTTTTTACGCAGCAGATGCCCTTCCAGCTGCAACCCATCTCTGGGTTGTGGGCTGTGGCGACCTCTGAAATAGAGACTAAGTCGAAGGAAAACGAATGAAGGAAGTTGCTAATACCATAGTACTCTAATATACAATATATCATTTAATAATTCATCAGTATATTTAATATTGAAACCATATATGACTAGAATTGCGGGTGCAGAACACCAAACTTCATTTATGCAAATGAGCTTTGAAGTAAACTCTGAAAAAAGTTAAAAAAACAGTTGGCTCAAAGGCTGTCATTAAGGTCCAACAATATACTGAGAGTTATGTAAATAATTTGTTATTGAAAACATACCTCTGTTTTGCCCTAAAAAGAGACAATTTCATATGTAAATGCTTTATAAATCAGCCTATATTATTACATTAATTAGAACAAGTCTATTAAATGATGCATACGCCAACACAGGACTGTTTTGCTGATGTTAAGCTGCTAATAAATGTTTCTGTCGTTCAGATGAGCAGGCGTCCTGCAGAAAGAAACTTACATATGAGGAGGCTGTTGAGAAAGCAGGTAAACTCAACTCAATCATATTCTTCCATCATGTTTTCCACATCATACGAATGTCCAGATGCAGTGGTCAGCTCATGTTTCTCTCTCTCTCTGTGTGTGTGTGTGTGTGTGTGTGTGTGTGTGTGTGTGTGAGCAGGGTTTGGTCTCTTCCATTGGCTGCTGTTGGTAGTCTGTGGATGGGCAAACGCCAGCGATGCGGTGGAGATCCTGTGTGTGTCGTTCCTGCTGCCCACGGCCCGCTGTGATCTCCAGCTCAGCTCGGCCGACATGGGCATCCTCACCGCCAGCATCTTTCTAGGTTATCATCTGTCCTGCTTCTGACTCCATGTTTGATTCATAATAACAATAATAAAGTTAGTGAGGATGAAAGTAATATTCTGTAACAATAGCAACAGGGATATTAATAATAATGGAGGTAGTGTCAATAATAATAATGATATTATATATAGCCAACACACAGTTGAAGTCAGAATGATTAGTCCATCAGTCTATGGATGTCAGTGGTTTCTTAATTCCAACATTCTTCAAACTATCTTATTTTGTGCTCAGCAGAAGAAAGAAATGATAAAAGTTTTGATTTTTTGCATAAACTTTCCCTTTAAATCATGCCACAAATCCAATTCGTTCGCTGTTTGGTTGAACTTTGGAGTGCATTTGTGTGAAAACTGCAGTGTCATGCTCTCGGTTTCATGCTTAACTGACCCAGTGATTAAATCTGCTGACATTAGCGTGTCTTTGTTGCGCCGATCATGTGTTGAGTAAGATAGTGTGTGTTCTCCTGCAGGGATGATGGTGGGCGGTTGTGTTTGGGGGTTTCTGGCTGATCGCAGAGGAAGGCGGAGCGTCCTGGTGGTTTCTCTGGCTGTCAATGGCACATTCGGGGCGGTGGCCAGTTTGGCACCAACTTTCTGGCTCTTTCTGCTCTTGCGGTTCTTCAGTGGAGTCGGGTAATACTAACATGCCGATACTGTTTTTTTTTACATGCACAGTGACATCACAAAAATGACATGAATGCGTCTGTGTCTCAATGTCAGGGTCGGCGGCTCCATTCCTGTCATCTTCTCCTATTTTTCGGAGTTTCAGCCGTGTTTGCGGAGGGGGGCGATGATTAGTGCTCTGGCAACCTTCTGGATGGCTGGAAATATTTTAGCTGCAGGTAAAAAAAATCATAGTTTGAGAGAGAAGCGCCTGTGAAATAAAGAGTGAAGAAGACCATAATTTGTATCCAAAAATAGATGAAATTATTAAAGTCATAACTAACATGCAGACCAAATACAAAAATTACATCAGCTGCGTCCCAAATCGCATACTTATGCACTATTTTACGCCATTTTGTAGTATAAATAGTGTAAGTAGTGTGTTCACATTGAAAACTCTCCAAATAATAAGTGCACTTTAATTACCCGGATGATGCACTCATTCAGCCGCTAAAATTAAGTGTGTAATGATGGACACTTCACGCACTCAACGACCGCAGGTTTGCTTACGTAGCGGAAGGGGCGGAGCTATCTGACGCACATGTTGAATAACTTTATTTATTTTGGATGGTGAAAGCAAAATTCTCCTACAAGAGTGATTATTGCCCCTCCCGATGGTAAATGCGGTTATACTCACGGCAGGTATTACTTGATAATTCAGTCGTTTTTTCACTGATTTGGCAACAGTCAAACGTCATCAGGGAAACGGTTTGAATTTCCGCTTAGTAAAAAAACATTAGTGTGCCATTTGGGACAACACTACATACATATACTATCCTGTTGAGTGTGTAAGTGCATAAGTACATAGTGCATGAGTGCATAGTGTATAGTGTGCCATTTGGGACGCAGCTATAGACTTGTGCTGGGAAATGATTAATCATGATTAATCACACTTAAAGGTCCATGAAACCCCCTCCTTCAGTTCAAGTCTACCTCAGAACTTTTTCAAAAAATGCTCTATGATGGGCGTGGAGCTCTGCGGGCAGAGGGAGGAGTGGGCGTGGCCAGCAGAGCAGGGGAGAAAGAGGGGAGCGAACAGCTGTTGTCAGTCGGCTCACAAAATGAGACACAAACCGTGAGGAGACGCATGATTTTATAGTTTACAAAGTTAAAATGCAAAGAAATAAACAGCGATTTAATGCCCTGCTACATATTATGGGTTATTCGTAATTTCTTATAATATTTACACATAAGTGGCGACCTCTGAAATAGAGACTAAGCCAAAGGAAAATGAATGAATAAATGAATGTACACACATAACTACAATTTGTTATATAATTATAAAGATAATCATGTTTATGGAAACACTGTAAATGAGAAGGACTTCTCTCAACCTGAATCCCGGGTCTATTGCAGACACAGTGGAGCAGTGCTCTTGCCCTGTCTATTTCAACCATTAACCGCGCTGGTAACCTGGAGATTTTAAACATAGGCGAACACAGCAGCGCGGATACAGTGTCGGAATGAAAGACAAAGGGCTCTATTTTGACGGTCCATGCGCAGAGCGCAAAACGCAGGGCGCAAACGCTTTCAGGGCGTGTCAGAACGCGTTTTTGCTAATTTAAGGACGGGAAAATCCGCTTTGCGCCATGGCGCATGGTCTAAAAGGGTTGAGTTTATTTTCTTAATGAGTTATAGGTGTGTTTTGAGAATAAACCAATTAGAGTCTCATCTTCCATTCCCTTTAAGAGCCAGCTGCGTCGCGCCATAAGCGCATTTTGACGTAAAGTAAGTTCACTTTCGCTTTTGCTCTCGTGGATAGGGAAACCTTTACGCACAGACATTAGTTAGCCTATAAATAATTAATTTCATTTGTTAAGTGCAAAGATTTGTTTCAAAACTATTTCTAAATTCAGTTCTAATTTCCAGCAAACGAATAAATGAACAATAATAACCAAGTGTGGTCAAAATACTGAGTTATTTACAAATACACCTGCCATGCCCCATATGGTCTAAAATTTGACAGGTGTACAAATCTAAACTTGTTTTTAATAAAACAAATATAAATATGGATATAATAAATAATAGTGCTAATAATAATAACATTATACAAAAGCAAGGTTTTTAAATCATCATGTAGGCTAGAAATTAATATGTTTTGTAATATTTTAATCATTTATATTTATATCCTATATATATCCTTATATATATATATATATATATATATATATATATATATATATATATCCTTAAGATATTATATATTTTTCATATGTAAAGATATTTGCGTATTGCTCTGCATCTTGTTTGTAGTGTGTAAGCCAGGCGCACTTTGCGCCAGACAATAGACCGACTGTGTTCTGGTCTAAAGATCAGACTATTTTCAGTTTCTCAAAATAGCAACGCGCCAAAACACGCCTGCTTTTTTAGACCAGAACGCCTATGGGCGCACATTTGAGCGCAAATGCATTTGCTATTTAAACTGCGCCACATTGCGCCAGGTGTATGATAGGGCCCAAAGTCTGCCAATCTCCAATTCTCGTACTGCTCTCCCGATAAAAATGTTTGCTGCAAACCAACAGCGTTGCTGTATGGGCCCTGACAGCATCACAGAGAAAGAAATACAACAAACTCCGAGGATCATGGAAACCCAAACACACACGACCCCTGCCGTATGCAACCGTGGTCTCACCCAGTCATTTGGTCTCACGGCTTAGCAGGTCAGAAAGCATGTGCTCTCATGAATAATTAAGAAGCAGGGTCTTCTCATTGGATAAGAAAACTCTGCTATGAATAATAATGAGAGACCGATGCATCATCACTCCATTAGCAGATTTGAGCTACAGTACGTCACCGATTTTGATCCCGTCCCTAAAATCATTTTAAACCCGGAAGATGAAATTAGCTGACAAAAGCTCAAAATTATCCAGTTTTGCCCACAATTAAAGCTAACAGGTGCTAACACTCTCTTAACTGATGCTCAACACACACAAATCTGTTAAAATCTCGAAAAAAGTACTTGAGGGTTTCGGGAACCTTTATATTAAAGGCTAATATCTGCATAATATATGTGTGTGTGTGATATGTATTTGTAATATGTATATATACGGTTGAAGTCAGAAATATTAGCCCCCCGTAAATTTTTTGCCCCGTGTTTATTTTTTCCCCTATTTCTGTTTAACAGAGAGAATTTTTTTAACACATTTCTAAGCATAATAGTTTTAATACCTCATCTCTAATAGCTGACTGATTTTAATAATAATAATATTGACTTTAAAATATTTTTTAAAAAATTAAAAGCCGCTTATCTTCTAGCCGAAATAAAACAAATAAGACTTTCTCCGGAAGAAAAAATATTATCAGACATACTGTGAAAATTGCTTTGCTCTGTTAAACATCATTTGGGAAATATTTAAAAAATATTTAAAAATAATAAAAAATAAATATGTATATGATATTATTATAAGTATTGATTTTAAAATATATGTTGTGTCCAGGTGTGGCGTGGCTGGTGATTCCCAGGACATCTCTGCATGCTGACTGGGGCTGGTTGGATTTTCAGAGCTGGCGTCTTTTTGTGGTCCTCTGCTCGATTCCCAGTCTGTCATCAGCACTGATTTTCAGACTCTTCATGCCGGAGAGCCCAAAGTTCCTCATGGAGGTTTAGAACAACTCAAATCCTAAATGAATTGAAATTTGAACCATATGTTGTAAATAATCAATGTATCAAGTTACAGCTCTATGGCATGTACAGTTGAAGTCAGAATTATTAGCCCCCATTTGAATTGTTTTTTCTTTATTAAATATTTCCCAAATGATGTTTAACAGAGCAAGGACATTTTCACAGTATGTCTGATAATATTTTTTTATTTTTGAGAAAGTCTTATTTGTTTTAATTCGGCTTGATTAAAAGCAGTTTTAAATTTTTAAAACTCATTTCAAGGTCAATATTATTAGCCCCTTTGAGCTATATTTTTTCAACATAATAGTTTTAATAACTCATCTCTAATAATGGATTTATTTTATCTTTGCCATGATGACTGTAAATATTATTTTACTAGATATTTTTCAAGACACTTCCATACAGCTCAAAGGGCAATTTAAAGAATTAACTAGGGTAAATAAGTTAATTAGTTAGTCAGACTAATTAGGCAAATCTTTGTACAACAATGGAAAAAAAATTTGCTTAAAGGGGCTAATAATATTGACCTTAAAATGGTGTTTAAAAAATGAAAAACTGCTTTTATTCTTGCCAAAATAAAACCAAAATTACTTTCTCCAGAAGAAAAAATATTATCGGAACTTTTGTGAAAATGTCCTTGCTCTGTTAAACATAATGGGAAATATTTAAAAAAGAGAAAAAAAAACTAAGGGGGGTTAATAATTCTGACTTCAACGGTATGTCTCTCCATCACAGGCCGGACGTGAGATGGAGGCTTTGTCTGTGTTCCAGAAGATATACAAACTGAACAACAGAGGTGCCACAAAACCATTTCCTGTGAGCCCATTTCCTCTTTCCCACCCTTCATACCTAATTATTATGGTTTTTCTTTTCATGAAAATGAGTTTGTGTTAACAGGTATCAGGGCTCATGATCAGACCTAAAGATGATGAAGTGAAAAACAGACCCAGCCACAGCAGCTCAAGATCACAGCGCTTCATCAATCAGCTCACACAGGTTCAATTGTTATGTTATCATCATATTATATTATATTATATTATATTATATTATATTATATTATATTATATTATATTATATTATATTATATTATATTTTATTATATTATATTATATTATATTATATTATATTATATTATATTATATTATATTATATTATATAAAAACTATTAATTGTAGACATGAAGTATTGTTGTTCTTCTACAGGCTCTGGTCCCGCTGAAACAGCTGTTTGTCAGACCGCTGGCTTCCAGAAGTGTCGTTCTAGTGATCATCTTTTTCTGCATCTCATTTGGGTACTAAACTACATTTAAGACTTAATAAGCTAAATATTCTACTAATCCAGAGCTTATTTTCTCTGAAAACCACTTGTAATTTTAGTCAAGTTGTCTCTTTTCTGATTGGCTAATGTTTCATACGGTCGGATTTTTTCTAGATTTATATCTGCCATGTGGTTCATCATTATGTAAATGAGCTCTTTTCTGATTGGCTAACTATAACACAGGCTGTTTGTTGTTATTGTGCCTTTTTTCCTTTACCTTTAAGATATCAGGATTTATATATGTCATGCTGTATATCATTATTTAAATTAGCTCTTTTTTGATTGGCTAATCCCAATACAGGCAATTTTTTTTGTTACTGTTCCTTTAAGACTTTAATATGCAAAATCAGCTTGTTTCTGATTGGCTTTTCATACAGCATTTTGCTACTATACCTTTAAAATATCTAAATTTCTATATGCCATGCTGTATATCATTATGTAAATTAGCTCTTTTCTAATTGGCTAACCACAATGCAGGCTGTTTTTGGTACTGTTCCTTAAGCTTTATATTCTACATCACTACTTCAATATGTAAATGAGCTTGCTTCTGATTGGCTTACTTTTCACACAGTCTTTTCCCTGCTACTATACCTTTAAGATATCTGGATTTAGGATATCATGGATTTATTCTGCCATGTTGTATATAATTATTTAAATAAGTTCTTTTCTGATTGGCTAATAACAATGCAGGCAGTTTTTTTTTCGTACTGTCCCTTTAAGAGTTTATGTTTCACATTATTACTTTAATATGTAAATGAGATTGGTTCTGATTGTCTTACCTTTCTCACAGTCTTTTTTTGCTACTCTACCTTTAAGATATCTGGATATATATCTGCCATGTTGTACATCATTATGTAAATGAGCTCTTTTCTGATTGGCGAACCACATCATAGCCTGTTGTGTTGTAAAGTTTGTTCTACATTACTACTTTATTATGTAAATGAGCTTGGTTCAGAATGGCTTTCTTTTCACACAGTCTATTTTTGTGCTACAATACCTTTAAGATATCTGTATTTATATCGCCATGTTGTATATTATTATGTAAATTAATTATTTTCAGATTGGCTAACCACAACACAGGCTGTTTTTGTTACTGTTCCTTTAAGATTAATGTTCTACATTACTACTTCAATATGTAAATGAGCTTGGTTCTGATTGGCTTACCTTTTACACAGTCCTTTTTTTTGCAACTATACCTTTAAGGTATATAGATTCATATCTGCCTTGTTGTCCATCATTATGTAAATGAGCTCTTCTCTGATTGGCTAACCGCAACATAGGCTGTTATGTTGTAAAGTTTGTTCTACATTACTTTAATATTTAAATGACTTCTGTTCTGATTGGCTTTCTTTTCACATAGTCTTTTTTGCTACTATACCTTTAAGATCACCATGTTGTACATCGATATATAAATGAGCTTTTTCCTGATTGGCTAACCACAACATTGGTTGTTTTTTGTTACTGTTCCTATAAGATTTATATACATTACTACTTCAATATGTAAATGAGCTTACTTCTGATTGGCTTACATTTCACAGTCTGTGTTTTGCTACTATATCTACATTTATATAAGCCATGTTGTATATCATTATGTAAATTAGCTATTTTCTGATAGGCTAACCACAACACAGGCTTTTTGTTAGTTTCTTTTTTGCTACAATACCTTAAATATATATGCATTTATATTGCCATGATGTATATCATTATGTAAATGAGCTATTTTCTGATTTGCTATCCATATTTTGGTTAGCTAGCTTCATGTTAAATGACGCAAATTCTGACTGAGTATGATTATATGACGTGCAGGTATTATGGGTTATGGATGTGGTTTCCGGAGCTTTTCAAGAGGGCAGAAGATGGAGGTTCTCCATGTGCAAACATGTCTCGAGCCCAAAACGCAGAGAACGAAAAGTGCTATCCAGTCAAAACCGCAGGTTAACATTTCTAAAATCATTTTTGAAATGTGTTTATTTTATTAAGTCATCATATTTATGTATTTTGCTTGCTTTACAGTGTACATGGAGGGGTTTATAACGGCGGCTTCAAACTTGCCAGGAAACATCTTCACTATTCTCCTCATGGACAGAATCGGCGGGAAAATCCTTTTATGTTCGTAGTTATCCTCCCGCTTAAAATATTCCAAATACAATTACAGAAATCCTGTCAATGAGGAGTCTAAACTGATTTTATTTGTCTAAGTATCCAAAGCACAGGATTTAAAGGATCCGCCCTCTTCTGGAAAGTGGGCGGGGAGAAGCAGCTCATTTACATTTAAAGAGACGCACACTAAAATTGTGTTTCTGCTTTTTTAACACTCAAATTAGGGCATTTACAGCATGGTGTATTACATTACTATGATAATTTGAGCTGAAACTATTCTGGAGACAATATTACACCTTTACTGTTTGCAAAATAGTAAACAACCAATAAAGTACAACAGGTCCACACTTATGTGTTTTTTTTTCTCCGTTCGCAGCCGTTAGTTTGCTGGTGTCCGGCGTGAGTGTGTTCGTCATTTACGTGGTGAAGACTAAAACTCAGAGTCTGATCGTGTCCTGTGTGTTCAGTGGTGTTTCTGTCATCTCCTGGAACGCTCTGGATGTCGTGGGGACAGAACTTTACCCTACACAACTACGGTAAACACCAGAATTGAGAGATTATAGTGCAATGTGCAGCCGTTTACACTTTTGGGAATAATTAGGTCAAAAATCAATTTAAAGCAGTAATATTGTAAAACTCTAATACAATTTATAGCAATTTATGTGTTTATTTAAATATATTGTTATTGATAACGCAATTCTAAATGTAATAAAAGCATTTTTTTTGTGTATTAAAAATATTTCAATTGTAAACATATGCAAAGAATGTACAATAGTGTTAAAAACATCAGAAAGAATGCAAAAGAGTGATAAAAACACTAAAGAATGACCTTGATTATCATCTCTGCCGTGCAGCTCCTCGGCTCTGGGGGTCTTCACTGGAGTGGGTCGAGTGGCAGCCATCATGGGCAATGTGGTTTTCGGGCAGCTGGTGGACTCGAGCTGTGCCGTTCCTCTGCTGATGGTGTGTGTGCTCCTGCTGGCGGGAGGACTGGCAGCTCTGTGGCTGCCTCAAACTAAACAGACTCAACTCACATGATGCACACACACACACACATAGGCATTAAAAGAGATACAGTTGAAGTCAAAATGATTAGCCTTCCTGTAAATTATTTTGTCTTCAAATATTTCCCAAATGATGTTTAACAGAGCAAGGAATTTTTCAGAGTATTTGCTAGAATATTTTTTCTTCTGGAGAAAGTCTTATTATTTTATTTCTGCAAGAAAAAAAGCAGTTAATTAAAAAAAAATAATAATTTTAAGGTCAAAATTATTAGCCCCCTTCAGCTATATTTTTTAACTCTCCAGAACAAACCAACGACTTGCCTTATTACTCTAACTTGCCTAATTAACCAAGTTAAGCCTTTAAATGTCACTTTAAGCTCAATACTAGTATCTTGAAAAATATCTTGTAATACATTATGTACTGTCATAATGGCAAAGATAAAATAAATCAGTTAACAAAACTATTATGTTTAGAAATGTGTGGAAAAAATCTTAAACAGAAAATATACAGTAGGGCTGATAATTCAACTTCAACTGTACGGTAGTTCACCTAAAACTAAAAGCATGTCCTCTTTTACTCAGCCTTCACTTGTTTTGAGTTTCTCTCTTCCGATGAACACCAAAGAAGATACTTTGAAAAATGTCAGAATACGGTAACCCAGTGGTTCTCAAACTTTTTTTTTATCAAGTACCACCTCAGAAAAAAAATTGTCACTCCAAGTACCACCAAAAATTAGCAGTATTGAAATACAGTACCATAGTAGGCCCAGTAAAGCAGCTACAACTCTGCAGTTAAAAAAATGTGGCTGATTACCTCAGAAATATAGGCTATATGTCATAAACGGCATATTATATACATCATTTTTGATACATTTTTAAATGTGTGTAGCATATACATGACATATTTCACTCCTTCGCGTACCACTAGAAGGAAGCCTGCGTACCACTAGTGGTACACGTACCACAGTTTGAGAACCACTGCGGTAACCAATGACATCAATAGTAGGGAAGTCCATCCGTACTATGGAAGTCAATATTGACAGATTTCCAACATTTATATCTTCTTAAATGTTTAACTGAAAAAAGAAACTCATAAAGGTTTGGAAACACATGAGGGAGTCAAGCCAAACGTGTGATTCTGGGAGCAAAAACTCCAAACCAAAGATTTTGACATGTTGCAGTTTTGCACCTTGAGAAGTCGGACCACAAAGAATTTTGTAATGCTGATTTTATGTGTCAAAATGGTACAGTCTTTGAATATGGTAAAATGCTGTGAGTAATCTGCAGCTTGAATCATTATCTTAAAGGGATAGTTCACCCATATTGAAAATTTGCTGGTAATTTACTCACCATCAGGCCATTCTTAATTCACTAAAGAAGATTTTTAGCTGAAACTGTGATTATTGAGGATTTATAAAATGTAAGTCATTGACTAAATACACTTTTATAAAAAACACATACAAGCAAAGCAAAGATAATACATGTGCAAGAAACATAATGATAGCCATTCATTTTGTTTCCATCCCCAAAAATCTCTCTCTCATCTTGGATGGCCTGAAGGTAAAGAAATCATCAGTGAATAATTAGTGAACCACCCACTAGTGATCATCTCTCCTTCATTAGCATAGGACGTTAGTCTTGTTTGTGAATCTGCCACTATGCTGACACACAGGTATTTGTAGCTCCGCCCAAAAGCCTAAAAGTGGCTGTTTCAGAGAGTTACAAAACATTACCTGTGTGGTATTTGAGCTGAAACTTCGCATAGACACTCTATGGACATCAGAGACTCATTTTATATCTTGTAATAAGAGGCATAATAGGTGCTTTTAAAGAAATTTTATACATTTATAATCAATAATTACTTTTTTTAACAACCATTTTGATGATTTTACAAAATGTTTCTGTATATTTGACTGAATCAACTCGTTTTGTAGCACTTTATTGTTTGCACAGTGAAATAAATGAACATCCAGCAGAAGTCTGATGCTTTAACATCTTTATTTAGTCTGATATGAACATTTGTAATTAACCATGGCGATACTTGCAGAGCAATGAGGTAGAGACTTTGAAACCCTAAAAAGCGGCTGCATAAAGGCAACGAGGAAGAGATGAAGCTCTTTGGCACGGCTTGAGTGAGAAACCAGTGTGACACACATTAATATGATTAAAATAATAATTAATACTAATAATAAAAATAATTAAATAATAATTCATACGATTTAAAGTATTGTGTTATTTATTTTGAAATATTATGAAATAAATTCGTAAATAAGCCATGGCAAATTGAATGTATTACAGTTTAGTATATTTATCTTTGGCCCACAGCTTTCAGTGCTATTTGGATTTTGGCGCTTCAAATGTAAAAGTTTGGGCCCCCCAGGCCTAAATGGATGAACGGTTTTATTCACGTCACCTCATACTTCGGTTTCTCATCAAATCTTCTGACCAATCAGATGCACTTTAGTGTCTGACATGCCCCGCCCCTTTCAAGAAGCTTCTCATTTGCATTTCATTTGATGTGCTTGAGCTTAACCGGACTGCAGAGCGGTGATAAAAAGGGGAGGAGCTACTCTATGTGGTGTTTCAGTTAAGATTACGTCAAACATCGAATAGAAATGCACATTTTAAAGCACTTCATGGGCCTTTAAAGAAGATTTTAAGGTGAAACTGTGTTTCTTGATGATTTATAAAATGCAAGTCATTGATATACGGCACTTTGAGCGATTAAAAAAACACCAAACCTCTGGCTCCTGATCATACATACTGAGCTCTTATGAAGAAAAATGATCAGTCTGTGCAAGAAACATTATAATGACACCCATTTATTTTGTTTTTGCAAGTATTTTTTTCTCTCTCTCATCTTGGATGGCTTCAGGGAAAATAAATTATTAGTCAATTTCATTTTTGGACTTGCTAAGAATATCTTGTTAAACTTGAGCAATCTATATTTTGAGCCCAGCCCTAAAGAGGTCCTTTTATGCAAAAATCACTTTTATAAGTGGTTTCAACACAGTTGTGTGGTGACATTCTATGAATATAACCAGCTTCTAATGATAATTGTTTTAAATTTTATTTTGTATATTCACACTTGATAAAAACAGCCTGCAGAAACACTTTGACTGACATTCTCCCTTTGTACATGTCATCAGTAGGAGAAAGCCCCGCCCACTCGTGACCATCTCTCTCTCTCATCGCATCGCATAGGACGTTAGTCTTGTTTTTGAATCTGCCACTATGCTGACACACAGGCATTTGTAGCTCTGCCCTCTTTTAAAAAGAGCACAATCTCATTTGAATTTAAAGCGACAGTCACCAAAACAACACAATTAGTATTAAAGCCTAAAAGGGGGCAGTTTCAGAGAGTTATAAAGCGTTACCTATGTGGTATTTAAGTTAAAACTTCACATAGATACTCTAGGGACATCAGAGACTCCTTTTATATCTTGTTATAAGAAGCATAATGTTTTTTTTATGAACTTCTATACATTTATAGTCAATAATTTGCTTTTTAACAACCATTTTGATGATTCAACAGAATGTTTCTGTATATTTGACTGAATCAACTCGTTTTGTAGCACTTTAGTGTTTGCTCACTGAAATAAACGAACATCCAGGAGAACTTTGATGCTTCAACAACTTTATTTAGTCGGATCTGAACATTTGTAATTAACCATAGCGATACTTGCAGAGCAATGAGGTAGAGACTTTGAAACCCTAAAAAGCGGCCGCAAAAAGGCAACGAGGAAGAGATGAAGCTCTTTGGCACGGCTTGAGTGGGAAACACATTCATTTACTCAACTAAGGTTTACGAGTGTTTAATAACAAACAACAAAACTCGAAGTGAGAACTCCATCTGCTCAAATAAACATCTTTAAAACCACAGGCAAACCTTTTCCTAGTGCTATATTTCAAATAAAACCTGCTATTTGATAAAAAAAACTACAAACACCACAGAGATCCTAACAGTGTTATATTCAATAGAATGGATGATTGACGACGGCGCTAAGCAACAGCATCAGCCCGCTGTGATGTCACTTCCTGGAGCATTTCCCATGCCAAGATGCTCGACCACTTAATACAGTGTTAAAAAAAGACAAACCTAAAGCATCTGTTTACATAAAAGCCCAAACCAGCAGTAGAAAAGCCTTTAAATAAATACTAAAATAAAGAGAAGCCAAAGGCACCGACTGGCATTTGCCTGCATCAAGGGGTCAAACCTGCGAGATAATAAACTAATATTCTGTGCATGCCAAATCTAAAATAAAAACACGACTATTAAAATCAGATCTCTACGGCGATGGCTGTCTAGTTAACTGTGCAAATGGGTCACCATCGATGAACCCTTAAGTGTGCATAGAGGCTTGATGAACGAGAACGAGAGCAGTGCAATACAATGCAGAAACTTCCCTCACACAAACATCCCAAAACAGTGAAGTGAGTCCGGACTCTTTCCCACTCGGGGGGTTTAGGTTGGGTTTAGGCTCTTCTGGTTGCGCATGAGAGGCTGATGGCTGCTCAACACGTCCAGGGAGTGACGCCAGTGCCAGCATGACCGACAGTAGTATTTAAAACAGGCCTGAAAAGAGTTAGAAATGTGCTTTAGTCACAATAGGGCCAGTGTGATTATAAAAATACATTCAAATAATACAATAAATAAATAGCTGTTTCCAACATCAAGTAATGTAAGAAGCTTTTTAACATGTGACACAATTGACATGAAACCAGTCTGGTTTCATTTATACTCTATAATGAGCTGAAATATTATGAACTTTCACAGGTTATGAGATAGGAATGCACTTGCCCAATAACCAACAACTTTTAATAATTGGAAAATAATAAGCAATATTATTATTATTATTATTTATATAATATATTTTTTTTCTGAGCATGGTAATACATAGGGAAGGCAAATGGTTGGAAATAAATAGTGGCCACCTGATTAAATTGAAAACCTTAAAGGCGAATATCCACCAAAACTAGCCTAGACCATTATCTATTGTTAAAAACTAGCTTAGAGCACCATCTGTGATTAAAAACTAGCCTAGAGTGCCATATGCTGTTATAGACTAACCTAGAGCATCATCTGCTGTTAAAAACTAGCCTAGCGCACCATCTGCTGTTATAGACTAACCTAGAGCATCATCTGCTGTTAAAAACTAGCCTAGCGCACCATCTGCTGTTAAAAAACTAACGTTGAGCTACA